ATCATCAGTCATCATCATGTATCATCATCATGTATCATCATCTTGTACCATCATCTTGTACCATCATTATCATTATGTATCATCATCATTTTTATCATCATTATCATTATCACCTTTATTATCATTATTATCTTTAATATTTTTTTATTTTTTACAATTCTATACCAAAGACTTTGACAATGATGAAGCAAAGCTTCTCAAAGATGTGTTGGGTGAATACAACAAAAAACTGCGTCCAGTCATAAGCAAGCACGATAAGGTTGAGGTTAAACTGGGTTTTACTCTTAATCAGATTATTGACGTGGTAAGAAAATAACAGTAGTTTCAAGAGAAAATGAAGAGAAGGAATCTCTGGTATTCATGCTCGTAACCATCATAGGCACCGTTTGATGCTACTTTTACAATCACATTTGCAATAGTTTGGTTTCTGCAGGCGCATACTGCGCGCGCTCTAAGCTGTTTGTTTACTTTTTTTTCTTGAAAAAAAGAAAGGAAAACATGAGCAAACAGGCTGAAGCGCGTGCAGAAAAAAAACAAAAACGATCAGATGAATGATTCTAAAAATAGCATCAACGGCTCTAAAAATAGCATCAAAGAGTGGTCATGGTAAGGCGCGGAGATTGCTTCTCTTAGTTCATATTCTCTTGGTAATGTATATTACCATATCCTAGTATCTTCAGTACTCGGTATCCCTGGCCTTACATAGTGAGAACATGCATTATCTTGAAGTTGCGTCTCCTTGCACTGCTATAGTGAGAACCAGGCGGCTCACTTAATAATAATACCTCATCATATAACAAAGTCATAGAATCTCGCTGTAAAGCCCCACATATAACAAATCTATAGTTTTGATCCTGACAAAATGAATAGGCTTGAAATGGAAAGTTAGAAATATCTAAATTAAATGAAATAAAAAGCATGATCTATCCATGATTCAGCTGTTTTCTAAGTGAACTTGCGTGCGATTTATCGCGAGACGCGACCCTAAAGACCTTCTTTGATATACTCTTATTTAGAATATCCCTGGTGTGTGCCGCGGGAAGCGTACCCGTGATAGGGGGTATTTCGATCATTCATTCATGGGCATATATATCTGATTATGTTTTTAGATCGAAAAGTATGAAATCTTGAAACTGAGCCTCAACATAAGACAGGTAAGTTGATTAAAACATACCGCAACTTTTAACATCGGGAGTAAGCAAGGAAGCAAGGAAGCAAGGAAGCAAGGAAGCAAGGAAGCAAGGAAGCAAGG